CAGGTTATGTAATAAAGGGGATTAAGTAAAACAGCGTGGGGAGAACCTGCTGCTGACGTCATTAATCCTGAAGTGTTGTGTCGAGCTAAGATCACAAGACAAAAGTTGTAAATATCTTTTATAATAAAATACATATATAAGATAATGATCACTTCACAGAAACTTTATTTCCAACTGCAATGTATTAATAAATGGAAATCCGCTGATAATGATGACACAAATGCCCCAGCTGACATAAATCATGTCACCACGCCACGCGCTTTAATCAAGCGCGGAATCTCGGAACGCATTCTGAGTTTAAACTGTTTATTAAAACCCAAAATTAATAAAATCCTTTTTAGATAGAAGAACGATAAAATTCTTCTTTCTCCCAATAAACCTGCCTTTTGGATTACTGTCAAATCTAAATTGTGTGTTTAAGAGAAATTTGTGAGAGCGAAACCACAATCCACAGTAGGTCTCAGATTTCAATTATAAGTAATAAAACACTATGTTTTTATAATCTTTGTTCATATGCCAAATTCATTTCTTCTATCAAGTAAGTTTGTTTATCTGAGACGCAGCGAAAAGGGATTTGTTTAAAGAAAATCTATCAAAAACTTTATTCAGAATGATCCATGTCGGTCTTCGTCATATGTGTTCATTAATATAAAATGAGATTTTCTAATCATTGCGGGTTTATATATAACGCTGCGTGCAGTTGTTTTGTGCGTGTAGAAAACGATATCAAAATCAAAGTAGAACATGCACGTGATGTGTTCAACACGGCAGGTAGGAAGATATTGACCTAGACATTAATTCCGTGAGACAAAGTGTCTCATTAAGTCGGAGTCATACCAACTTCTTCACGTAATAAACCGACATGTACTCACGAAACTGCCATGATGTAAACGGTCGCACCCAATCCTTAGCTAATCATATTTTGTATTTCATTTTTTCGATTAAGCATATCTTGATAAAACTGTCAGTGTTTCAATGCGATATACGAAGTTAAATTAATCATCGCCTGATTCTACCTCTTTTTACCGCCATTTTTATTCTCTGTTCACTGCCACATTCACTCTCTCTTCACTGTCATATTTACTTGTAATCACCGCAAAAATTCACGCTATTTCATCACCATATTATATCTATTCATCCCATTTGATTATCTTTTCACCGGTGTACTCACTCTATATTCACCGCCATTTAGTTCACTCTATATTCAACGCCATTTGGTTCAATCTCTATTTATCGCCATTTGGTTCACTCTCTATTCATCGTCATTTGATTCACTCTCTATTCACCGCCATTTGATTCACTCTCTATTCACCGCCATTCGGTTCACTCTCTATTCACCGCCATTCGGTTCACTCTCTATTCACCGACATTCGGTTCACTCTCTTTTCACCGCCATTCGGTTCACTCTCTATTCACCGCCATTCGGTTCACTCTCTATTCACCGCCATTCGGTTCACTCTCTATTCACCGCCATTCGGTTCACTCTCTATTCACCGCCATTCGGTTCACTCTCTATTCACCGCCATTTGGTTCACTTATTTCTTATTCCTATGTATATTTACATTCGGTCCTCAACAATTTTGTTCTCTGGAATATGTTTTCTACATGCCATTCGGCTCACTCTCTGATTCACCGCCATTCGATTCACTCTCTCCTATTCACTGACATTCGGTTCTCATTAAGATTCTCTAGTCATTTGCCGCCATTCGGTTCACTCTCTATTCACCGCCATTTGGTTCACTTATTTCTTATTCCTATGTATATTTACTTTCTCGATCCTCAACAATTTTGTTTAACTGGAATATGTTTTCTACATGAATTCGCAGCTCGACTGACGGATGTCGAGTGATTCATTGTTTCATTAATAGATAAACTCACTGGACAATTCTGGTTCTAGTCTCATTGATCTAGTATCGTTCGTCTCCCTCATTAAGATTGTAGCCTAGTCATTTGCCTTTTGACTGAATTCACTATAATGCCCTCCTCCTGTAGCCAAGTATCTTGTCTTTAGTCTTAACTCACTACCACGTCCTCCATCTGTAGCCTAGTATCTTGTCTTTAGTCTTAACTCACTAACATGGTCTCCATCTGTAGCCTAGTATCTTGTCTTAAGTCTTAACTCACTACCATGTCCTCCGTCTGTAGCCTAGTATCTTGTCTTAAGTCTTAACTCACTACCACGTCCTCCATCTGCAGCCTAGTATGTTGTCTTTAGTCTTAACTCACTACCATGGTCTCCATCTGTAGTCTAGTATCTTGTCTTAAGTCTGAACTCACTACCACGTCCTCCATCTGTAATCTAGTATCTTGTCTTTGGTCTTAACTCACTACCACGTCCTCCATCTGTAATCTAGTATCTTGTCTTTGGTCTTAACTCACTACCACGTCCTCCATCTGTAATCTAGTATCTTGTCTTTGGTCTTAACTCACTACCACGTCCTCCGGCTGTAGTCTAGTATCTTGTCTTTAGTCTTAACTCACTACCACGTCCTCCGGCTGTAGCCAAGTATCTTGTCTTTAGTCTTAACTCACTACCACGTCCTCCATCTGTAGTCTAGTATCTTGTCTTTAGTCTTAACTCACTACCACGTCCTCCGTCTGTAGCCAAGTATCTTGTCTTTAGTCTTAACCCACTACCACGTCCTCCGTCTGTAGCCAAGTATCTTGTCTTTAGTCTTAACCCACTACCACGTCCTCCGTCTGTAGCCTATTATATTACTGTAAGTTTTAACAATTTCGTGGTCTCAACCTGTAGCTTAGTCTCTTGCCTTTCTACCATGGCTTTTACTTTTATTTGTCCTGATGGGGACTCAGCACGTCTCGCGTGGTCTTGCCTGATCTCCCAGTATTCAATTGATTCTATCGTCACTTTCCCCCCTTTTAAAAACAGCACGGGAGGGAGATTGTTGTTTTAAGGATTTCAGTTCACTTCAGCTGACTCGTTACCTTCATTTAGTTTAACTTTCCGGGTTACTGTGACCTGGTAACCTGGTATCAGTAAGCTGGTCCCTTTGTTAAACCTTGTTCCGTATATAGGATTCTAACATAATTTGTGTTAGGTCAGATCAAGTTTCAGTCAACGTCTCTATTCCTTTTATTGGTAATTCTGCTCTGAAATATAAGTACATTGTATACAAATCTGTTTGTGAGTTAGAGATTTGAATGGTTTATATTTTGACAGGTCACTAGTCCTCATAACGGAAAACGGAGGTTGGTTCCTGTTTTTCAAAACCTCTAATTATACAGGTAAAATAATCATACCTACAGGTAAACAACATGCAAAACTCTCATTTATTTCACTTTATTTGTCAGAGAAGTTACACACCACCTAAAGCTGTAATTACAAGTGGTTAGTGCAGTTTTAATCAAGGGAATAATTTTTATTTAGATTTCTATAAAATATGTTCTCTTGTTTTAATCTAACACAGATAAGGTCTGTATATCTCAAATAATTTGAAGATTGTCTTGTGTTTGTATGTATGGATACTGAAGGAAAGACAAATGTTTTGGATGTAAACGGTATCAATTTGTAACTTTGTACAGTGCCCTTCTAATGGACCCTGTCTCTAAAATTATAAGATAATCTAGTGTAAGATTCAAGTCTAGTGACTATTTACAAAAAAAACTTTGTGACTGGTAGTCAGTTTAACACATACATCACATGTATTTCATTTCGTTTTATCAGAATATTATTTTGTTTTCGAAATTACGCAATAATGTTTCGTTAAAACAGAATTATTTTTCGAAGTAAATACAATACATTTCGAAATAACACAATTATAAATTCGTTAAAACGAAGTGATATTTCGAACTAAAGATATTTTATTTTGATTAAACGGAATAAAATAGGTGTGAAGCATGCGAGTACAAGAACTCCATATTTGCAACTGCAACGCAAGGGCATATACATTTGGTTATCGATATGAGCTCGGGGGCGATACGGTGTCAAAACAAAAGTGTCATATCTTGGCCTATTTAATAATCGATATAAGCTTTCATTAGTCTTCTTTAACATGAATTTTTTCGTCATACTGAGATCTACATCCATCGTATATAAAGTTGATGACAAAGGTTGGACAAGTAACCCCATACAGTTAATAAAGTAACAAAGATACTTCAATACATATTCTATCAGATCAACGTGCTAAGTTAAACAAGGAAAAAATGTCGGATAGTTACACATGAGCTAGCACCGCGTGGGATTATGTATGCAGGACTTGAATCACACGTTCTGTCTGACGTTATTGATGTGTACCATCAGGTAGAAGGGATCTCCCAGCGTTAAGTAAACTATAAACACTTATCTAGGAATTACCCAGTGAAGATTTAGAACTGACACACTTGAGGCGCCGTAACAGTATTCGGAAGATGACGATAGAAGGTTTCACCGAATATTGTTGACAAAAACATGTTATTGCTAGCGATCGATGTTGACATTTAACCACGTGTTGTGTTTATTGACAAAAAGTAACGTAAGAGAAGAAACTGGAGATCGTATCGCCGCGACATTACTCACGCTGGACTGCATTGTAACTTAACATTCTCTCTGTGTGTTGGGTTAAACGCTTCGGTGCTAAATACCATATATTTTAAAAATGTGGAAACTTTATCGTCATTTTGATTATTTCAATTGAGTCACCAACGGTATTAATATACAGAGGTCTATTGAAGTGTGGGCCGGGCTTGTTTTTACGGCCATAACGATTGGCTGGACGAGTAAATTGAAGTCTTTGAGTCGAAATCGTAAAACCAATTCGATGTTTATTTACAACACGGTAAGTACGCGAATGTGTTTGATCCATGTAGCTTATACTGAAATGACATTTTAACACGATTAATATTAAGAAAAATACCTTTCGTTTATTACTGTTACTGCGCATTATATGTACAGGTAAAGTATTGTTGTAATGTCTAGGTCACGCCTGGTGGGGGATACGGGTCAAGTTACTGGACTTTCATATATTTGTTTACTTCTTGAACCGATTTCATTTTGCTTTCAGGCCGAGGACACATCACACCGTCCATCGATCGGAAAGTTCCGTCGCTGGCGGGAGAGGCAAACAGTGACAAAAGATGGGGGACCCAATTAACAGCTCAAGTCTTCAGTACTTGATTAACAGCCACACCGGAAACGGAAGTATGAAACTATCGATGGAAACCGCCTGTGGGCCCGGAGTTGGGAACGGGAGCACTCCATGTAAAGAAGAGGGCATGGGTATAAGTTTATCTACCCCTATTCTTATGTTGTCTTCTGGACTGATGGGCAACACGTTAGCTCTGGTGGTCCTCTACACAATGAAAAAGGAAGCCAAACAGACTGTGTTTTTTACTCTCTTAGCCGGACTGGCCTGGACCGATTTAATTGGTCAACTGATGACCGGTCCAATGGCGATAATTGTGTACGCGAACAATCTCCAATGGGTGGGTGGAGAGGCGACCTGTATTTATCACGCCTTTTCAATGATATGTTTTGGATTTCTGACTCCTGTGCTCGTGTGTGCCATGTCGCTAGATAGATTAGTAGCCCTCAAATTCACATTCTTCTACGCACGCAATTTTACAAGAAAAAAAGCCCAGGTGCTTGTTGTGGTATGTTGGATAATCGTATTGTTTGTATGTTCCTGGCCACTTATGGGGTTTGGCAGTTACGAAAAACAATACCCAGGTAGTTGGTGCTTTCTAAATTTCCATAAAGAGAGCGAAACTGACGTAGCTTTTGCGACTACCTACTCTGTGATAAACTTGTTACTCATCACCGTCAATTTCTTCTGTAACATTGTCGTCATATCAACAGTTATACAAATGAGGAAGAAAAGGATTATACAAAACTCACCATCCATAGATAGAAAACGTAGACCCCATCGTACAAAATCTCAGAAAAGACTGGAATCCGAGACACAAATGGTGGTTTTCATGTGTACAATCACGTTCGTGTTCAGTGTTTGCTACATACCATTCAACGTAAGTATTACCTCTGTATTTTTCAACTTATTACCTATATACCATTCAACCTAAGTATTAGCTATATACCATTCAACCTAAGTATTAGCTTTACACCATTCAACTTAAGTATTAGCTTTATACCATTCAACCTAAGTATTAGCTATATACCATTCAACCTAAGTATTAGCTTTATACCATTCAACCTAAGTATTAGCTATATACATTCAACCTAAGTATTAGCTATATACCATTCAACCTAAGTATTAGCTATATACCATTCAACCCAAGTATTATATATATACATTCAACCTAAGTATTAGCTATATACATTCAACCTAAGTATTAGCTATAAGTATTAACTATATACCATTCAACCCAAGTATATATATACATTCAACCTAAGTATTAGCTATATACATTCAACCTAAGTATTATCTATATACATTCAACCCAAGTATTATATATATACATTCAACCTAAATATTAGCTATATACATTCAACCTCAATATTAGCTATATACATTCAACCTAAGTATTAGCTATATACCAACCAACGTACGTATTAACTGTATACCATTCAACCCAAGTATTATATATATACATTCAACCTAAATATTAGCTATATACCAACCAACGTACGTATTAACTATATACCATTCAACCCAAGTATTAGCTATATACATTCAACCTAAGTATTGCCTATATACCATTCAACCTAAGTATTGCCTATATACCATTCAACCTAAGTATTAGCTATATACCATTCAACCCAAGTATTATCTATATACATTCAACCTAAGTATTATCTACATACATTCAACCTAAGTATTAGCTATATACCATTCAACCTAAGTATTATCTATATACCATTCAACCTAAGTATTAGCTATACACCATTCAACCTAAGTATTAGCTATATACATTCAACGTACGTATTAGCTACATATTATGCAACGTAAGTATTTACCTTACATCCATTCAACGTCATACCTACATACAACCAAACGTTCCTATTACCTTAATACAATTCAACGTAGGCATTACATATATATCCTTTCAACGTAATACCTATATACCACTTAGCGTAGGTATGATGACGTACGACAAAAAAAAAGGTTCGCGCGGAAATATAGTTAAAAACGTATATAACAGCAACCATATGAATATCCGTAAATAAACTTGTTTATAAGCAAATCAATCTGTAAACAGTTTTTCATACTTTAAATGTAATATCTAAGTCAGTCTGAAAGCAATTTTGTCGATTTAATGCATATGTTTAAATACAGCTGTTTTCCGTCACAGCCGAACACAGCAATACTATTTGTGGCCGGTTGTATTTCGATAATGACAGCGCTATTTGCCAGAAAAAATGTCATTGATTGTAATACATAGCATGCAATTCAAGTATTAGTTATATAACTTTCAATCCAAGTATGCCCAATACACCATTCGATGAAATATTAAACGTAAGTATTATCTATATTTCATTCAACGACAAAGTCGGCGCCATTTGCAGAATAAATGATATTCATACACATATACCATTTTACCTACACATAACCTATATATATATTCAACACAGGTTAATACCTATATACCATAATAATCACCTAAATGACACAGGTATTTCATATTTAATAAATTCAACATAAATCATTACCTATATCAGACTATACACCTTTCAATATCATTATTACCTACATAACATATTCATTCAACATAATTATTCTCGTTTTGTAAAGCATTTGAATACAAATATCATTTGTACAATGTAAACCATTTCCTAATGCAAAAGTAAAATCCATTAATCAATTAATACAGTTCAACATAAGCATTTCCTGAACGTTTGCCTTGTTCTATTCCTTATGCCTATAATGTAGATCATTTCCTTAACATTTGCCTTGCTCTATTCCTTATACATATAACGTAGACCAGCTAACGTAGTGCTATTTAACGTGATCACCGACTTTACACAAAATAACGTAAAAACTTTTTAATTTTTCATTTAACAACGTAAGTATTTTCTTCGTGTCATACTTCTAAACACTTCCTATACGAATCAATCTGTGTGTCAGTGGAGATACGTACCGACAGGTACAAATCTAACTTTTATCTTCAAATACCAAACAAGAGAGTAACTACCTACAGAATCTTACAACACTACTGCATCACACCAGACAGACTCAGAGCTGACAAAGTTGTTCTTTAATTTGAATAAAGGTAAACAGTTAGAGATAGACAGAATCCACTCAAATTGATCTCTTTTTGGTCGACAATTGAGTGGATTCTCTAAAGTACCAAATTTCCTTCCGCCCTGTCTATACTAGGCATCTATCGTATTTACACAATTGATGCGATTTCAATTGGTTGTTTTGAGAGTTACCAGATTTCACAAAACGAATTGTGTTAAGTATATTCTTGACTTGTTAAAAAGAATATTTTTATTCAACGGTACGAATAAAGAATGTTATGCACAAAATAATTATCATTTTCAAAATGGAATTTTTGTTGAAGAATAAGAGGTAGGGATAATGTATGTTTTGTGTAAAAATACTACATATCATTGACAGTAGCAAGAGCGAAGAATGAAAAATTTGAAGCAGATGTGAACTTCGGACTCGAGTAAATTAAAAGCCATATTCCCTTTCAGTACATCATACAGTTACACTGTACAGTCAAATAGTCCAAATTGATTACAAATACCTCAGTTTTTTTTTATAGAAAGGTAATACTATCACATATAGCACAAGTACACGCGTACTTCAGAGGTTAAAAAAAGACTGATGAGAACGGAACACGCCTAGTCTATATAATAAAACACTGATGAGGCCGGAACTAATGCGAGGTGTTGCATCATATTTGCACCATATTTAATTGTCACTTCATCACGATTTCAGCTTAACATACTTAATGGCTTTTCCGTTTAATTTTCAGTTCCTTCTCAGTTTCTTATCGTTAATTAGATGATAAGCCTTATATAACTAATATTGTTATCAAATACAACTAATGCATAACATTAAGGATCAGAGTACACCATACGTGATGGCACGGCCGGATGTATCGCACATCAATGTCTGATATAAACTAACAGGTTTTATTAAACTCGTTGTTATTAATTATCTCGTCAATGACAGTTTTAATGAACTGAATTGAACATATTTTTATCACGTGTAATGCAGTTAAAATGACTCATACAGGCAGCGTTCATCGTCTTGTTTACATGGGTGCAGTAAAGTTAGATTAATTTAAACGGCTAAAGTTACAAAAAAAAACTAATTATGATATTGGTACATTAAATATATATTTTTTTTTTATATTAAAACATAATTAAACTGTAATACATGCACATGCACCATAAATGAAAATATATTACAAGCTACACGTAATAAAAATGGGAGAGGAATTAATATAACCTCACAGCTTGTTTTCACATCCCATACTTATCAGATGTGTGGGTTAAATTTTTGAATTTTGAATAAAATGTGGTTTAAACTAATATTAACGTACCACAGAAATGTTACACACAGAACATAGATTTCATACGCGATAAGTGCACATATCAGTACATTGAATTCTAGATATTTCTGTGGTCAAATTAGTCGAGGACGTTTCTAGGTATTATATAGGATGACCATACAAATTTTACAGAGAAAATTCTTCCGTAGCGTGTTTAGTTTTATTCAGCATAGAAAAAATACCACAACAGTGCCTGATAGTTGAAATCTGGGTTGGGTATACACTGATAGTGTATAAGACAGATCAAGCTGCACTGAGTTGCCCTTGGATACAGAAGATAAGATGAACAGAGAATCGTACTGCCACCGTCGTAACGATGTCGAATAATTACCTGTTTTGACGGAAACTTGACGTGAAGTATTGAAATATAATCGTCATTATAAACACAACCCTGTGGGAAGTGGGCTTACCTTCAGTGGCGAACTGGTCATAACAAATTCTCATAGCCGTCACCACACAGCTATACAGTCGATATTGAACATCGCCATTATCTATTGCGATGACTATAATCTGTACTTCAAAGATTGCATCGTCTTTGAGTTCGGTCAGACTTTCTTTTATTGGTCGTCCACAGCTTTATTGATGTCAAAAAAGACACGATGTTCGTTTTAATAAGATGTTGTAATGTGAAAACGTATGCCAGTGTTTCTTGTGTTCAATAATTTACAGGTAAACACGTGTCTTACAGAGAGACTGCATTAAGTAGAATCACCTGTTCAAGAAATACGATAGATGATACAGACTAGTAATGGATGTTATAGACAGGTGATAGATGTTACAGTCTAGTAATGGATGTTATAGACAGGTGATAGATGTTACAGACTAGTAATGGTTGTTATAGGCAGGTGATATATTTAACAGACTAGTAATGGATGTTATAGACAGGTGATAGATGTAACAGACTAGTAATGGGTGTTATAGACAGGTGATATATGTTACAGGCTAGTAAAGGTTGTTATAGACAGGTGATATATGTTACAGGCTGGTAATGGGTGTTATAGACAGGTGATATATGTTACAGGCTAGTAATGGATGCTTTAGACAGGTGATAGATGTAACAGACTAGTAATGGGTGTTATAGACAGGTGATATATGTTACAGACTAGTAATAGGTGTTTTAGACAGGTGATATATGTTACAGACTAGTAATGGGTGTTATAGACAGGTGATAGATGATACAGACTAGTAATTGATGTTATAGACAGGTGATAGATGTAACAGACTAGTAATGGGTGTTATAGACAGGTGATAGATGTTACAGGTTGTTATAGACAGGTGATAGATGTTACAGACTAGTAATGGGTGTTATAGACAGGTGATAGATGTTACAGGTTGCTATAGACAGGTGATAGATGTTACAGACTAGTAATGGGTGTTATAGACAGGTGATAGATGTTACAGGTTGTTATAGACAGGTGATAGATGTTACAGACTAGTAATGGATGTTATAGACAGGTGATAGATGTTACAGGTTGCTATAGACAGGTGATAGATGTTACAGACTAGTAATGGGTGTTATAGACAGGTGATAGATGTTACAGGTTGTTATAGACAGGTGATAGATGTTACAGACTAGTAATGGATGTTATAGACAGGTGATAGATGTTACAGGTTGCTATAGACAGGTGATAGATGTTACAGGTTGCTATAGAAAGGTGATAGATGTAACAGATTAGTAATGTATTTATAGAGGATTAGAAGTATTTTGATTGGTATAGACATGTGATTGAGTTAAAGATAGACACTACCCGTAAAGAAATGATACAAAGTCACTTGAAAAGGGCGAATGTATAAGCACGTGTTTTTTTGCAGAATTCCACTTCAAATTCTTAATCAGTGATCAACATTTTTTCTCAAGTTAAACTTTGACAAACCAAATTATCATTTTCATCAAGGAGCAAAGTTGGCCCTTATTTTATTTAAGTTATATATCTTAAACAGTTTATCGAATGTCTTATGTAGATATATAAGATATGTTTAATAACATGTTGTATAAGATATGTTATTTAGACGTTGCGCTAGTTGCTATAGTAAGATATTCCACATGCTATATAAGGTATATTAGATGTTGAATATTTATTGATTTTCTATATAACATATCTCATACGTATTCTTTTCAACATAATTAAACCCGACTTTATTGCTCGTTATAACCAACAATACGTTTTGAAAAACCATCAACGTGAATAAGTTGAAAGTTTCGCCTATGAAAAAACGTGTTCCATCAAGTGCATATTCAAACTACAAATGGTTCTTGGGGAGACTTTTATTTTCCATGCCTAGAACTCTCATTTTATATAAGATATCTTACATCGATAAGATTTATATAATTTAGTGAAACACAAGATTGTTATTGCACTTTGAATAAATGTTCAGTTGGCCTGCCCTCCCGACCAGTCATTGATATGTTACCGTGCGGAGTAAGAACTATACCTTGTTTTAGAGGTGGCCAGTTTGTTTAGTTTAGCCCCAGTGTATTGCCAATAGAAAACATCTGTCCGACTGGATTAACCGTTCCTAGTACAGGTGTAGACCCATAACTTTTACTAATCAGTCCCACGTACTATAGCGGTGTCATCAATATAGTCTGCTTCCTATTGTACACATCCGCACAAGAAAATAGTTCCGCATACCTAACTAATATTCATATGTAGCAAAATAATGGATGTTTTCTAAGAGTGTTTTTGTATCTTGCAGGTGAATATAATTGTGAACCAGGTGACGGGTGTAATTAATCACAAAGTTGACCTCATCGTTCTTCGTCTACTCGCCATTAACCAGATCCTTGATCCGTGGCTCTACATATTGCTACGCAGAGCTCAGTTGCTAAAAATCTTAAACAACGTCAAACTCAAAATCTGCTACGCTTGTGGAGGATCGGGTAGTTTTATGTCTTCAAAGCAACATGAATACCCACACGATAAGAAAGATGTCGAAATCGGCAAATCATATGTCCTGAAATCAGTAGTGGGCGAGGTTGACACTCAAGTGCATCGCATCGAAAACGGAAGTGACTCTTCCGGAAGTAGAGAAACCCTGGGTAGCACATCAAACCTGATTCAGGAATGTGATGTAGAACGAGGACCACATCGGAAATATACCCGATCAATATCGGCCGACAATAGTCGTCCAGTATTTATCAGTGACAGTGACTCTGATGCTTTCCGCGAAGAAATGGCATGCTTCCGGACTTTGTTTGGTCCGGACAAACGAAAACGGCGCAAAACTTCTAGACGGCAGTCTGTGGACAATACACTAGACAGACCGCGGATAAAGCGACTGTACAGCCTCCCAAATAACATCTTCAAACAGGAAGCGCTTTTGTAACACAAGTATGAACGTATTATACAAGATACCTTTATATCGTTAGTGATTTCAAAAGGAAGGTTCGCCATTCTTTTTGACGAACCCATTGAAATATTTGATTTATTATTAACCGTCTTTCCGAAGAATATGACACATGCCTTTCTATAATCATCTGTCAGTACGGATGTAGATATTACAAACAAAATACTGAACGGCTGAGCGTGTTAGTAATTTAAGCATTGGTAGATAGTTTTCATATGGCAGAGAGACGATGAATCAAAGAGAATTTCTATATTAGATATACATTTTATGTGCTATGTTTCCGTAGTTGAGCTAAGTATATGTTATTTTGTAAATGTGAAAGTTGTTATATTCTGTTAAATAAATTGTTTTTTATTATTCATGCTCATCTGATTTTTTGAGACAAAAAATCGACGTAATCGTACATAAGAAAAACTAATTTCAGAAAAACAAGAAAATACCAACATTTCCATACAACATTCGAAACTCAGTTCAATAAAACTGGGTGAAAACTTAAAAAAGATTCCTGAAAAAGCACAAGGAGAATAACACCATGTGTTCCGAAAGAGTAAGCGTTTTCTGCTTCATCAACGACACCCGTTATTTAAAATTTGGTCAATCCAACTAAATACTGTTAGTTTCTCACATAGGAACATGTATACAACAACGGAACCAATAGGCAAACTAACGAGCATCAAACACGTCCAACTTCATACATCAGCTTTCCACATTGATTTCGTTGCAGGAACAGATTCAGATAAGTAGTTAATGGAGAACAGTTGACTAATCCCTTCCTTCCCATGGTATTTTTCTAAAGGGAGAAATCGTCTTTAATGACTCATTAATGATCCTCCACTATGGCGAGTCTACCAGTAGCTACTAACCAAGCCATCTATATCTTGCTCTCTGACAAGTATTCCTCCAGATCCTAACCAGTAGCTACTAACCAAGCCATCGTTATCTTTCTCTCTGACAAGTATTTCTCTCGATCCTAACCAGTAGCTACTATCCAAGACATCTATATCTTGCTCTCTGACAAGTAGACCTCCAGATCCTAACCAGTAGCTACTAACCAAGACATCTATATATTAGGTGACATTCGTGTGAGAGGCATGCCCTTTGCAGATTAATGTTTTTTACCGTTATAATTTATCATCATTGATATAAATCTCAATGAAAAAGAGATAATATAAAGTGACAATGCTTTTTGTTAGTCACAACTGAGCATTCTTTTTACATAATCACTAGACAATCAAACTTTTTAATTTACATACAAACACTCCTAGTTTAAGGACGAAATACAACGGACAATTTAGAAAGACGTTTTGTGATCAATTACTTCTTGCACTACTTGCTTTTTGGCGAATCCAGTAATTTTACAAAGAGAAGACCTAACTTTAGAAATTATATAACACGAAGTACTAAGGATCTATGTGCAGATACAGTAATCAACAAGACTTAGGATGCCAAGGATGGCCGGCTGGCTCATTGGTAAAGCTATCGCATTTCACCTGCACGTCCGGGGTTTGTTGCCTGAAGCGGATGTGAAAATGTATGAGGGTCACCTGCCCAACCACTTGGGTTTCAACTGGTAGTTCGGTTTCCATCTAAAGTCAGACACACGCTGGCATCAATCCGGGCCTGTAAGGGTGATTAATTAATGTACAATAAGTAGAACTTCTATTTTGTTAGATACAAGGCACAAGAAAGTTTAGTTTAGTCGTATACAATGAAATCATTAAACATCAGACGACAAAACATATAAAAGTGATGACACAGAGATTGTACGTAAGTAAACAAACTACAACAAATTATACAATTTGAATATAAAGAATATAGTTGATCACAATGAATAAGAATATAATAATTACAATACTGGATATATCATTACAACAGAATAACAAATATATAGAATACAGTGTATCACAGTGAGTTAGTATATACAGCACTGGACATATCATTACAACAGAATAACAAATATATAGAATACAGTGGATCACCATGAGTTAGTATATACAGCACTGGACATATCATTACAACAGAATAACAAATATATAGAATACAGTGGATCACCATGAGTTAGTATATACAGCACGGAATATATACTACAACAAAATAACAAATATATAGAATACAGTGGATCACCATGAGTTAGTATATACAGCACTGAATATATACTACAACAGAATAACAAATATATATATGAGTTAGTATATACAGCACTGAATATATATACAGCACTGAATATATACTACAACAGAATGACAAATATATATAGAATACAGTGTATCACAGTGGGTTAGTATATACAGCACTGAATATATCATTACAACAGAATAACAAAAATATATAGAATACAGTGGATCACCATGAGTTAGTATATACAGCACTGAATATATACTACAACAGAATAACAAATATATATAGAATACAGTGGATCACCATGAGTTAGTATATACAGCACTGAATATATACTACAACAGAATAACAAATATATAGAATACAGTGGATCACCATGAGTTAGTATATACAGCACTGAATATATACTACAACAGAATAACAAATATATAGAATACAGTGGATCACCATGAGTTAGTATATACAGCACTGAATATATACTACAACAGAATAACAAATATATAGAATACAGTGGATCACCATGAGTTAGTATATACAGCACTGAATATATACTACAACAGAATAACAAATATATAGAATACAGTGTATCACCATGAGTTAGTATATACAGCACTGAATATATACTACAACAGAATAACAAATATATAGAATACAGTGGATCACCATGAGTTAGTATATACAGCACTGAATATATACTACAACAGAATAACAAATATATAGAATACAGTGGATCACCATGAGTTAGTATATACAGCACTGAATATATACTACAACAAAATAACAAATATATAGAATACAGTGGATCACAGTGAGTTAGTATATACAGCACTGGACATATCATACTACAACAGAATAACAAATATATAGAATACAGTGGATCACCATGAGTTAGTATATACAGCACTGAATATATACTACAACAGAATAACAAATATATATAGAATACAGTGGATCACCATGAGTTAGTATATACAGCACTGAATATATACTACAACAGAATAACAAATATATAGAATACAGTGGATCACAGTGAGTTAGTATATACAGCACAGAATATATACTACAACAGAATAACAAATATATAGAATACAGTGTATCACAATGAGTTAGTATATACAGCACTGAATATATACTACAACAGAATAACAAATATATAGAATACAGTGGATCACAGTGAGTTAGTATATACAGCACTGAATATATATATAACAAATATATAGAATACAGTGGAACAGTATATACAGCACTGAATATATACTACAACAAAATAACAAATATATAGAATACAGTGGATCACAGTGAGTTAGTATATACAGCACTGAATATATACTACAACAGAATAACAAATATATAGAATACAGTGGATCACCATGAGTTAGTATATACAGCACTGAATATATACTACAACAGAATAACAAATATATAGAATACAGTGGATCACAGTGAGTTAGTATATACAGCACAGAATATATACTACAACAGAATAACAAATATATAGAATACAGTGGATCACAGTGAGTTAGTATATACAGCACTGAATATATACTACAACAGAATAACAAATATATAGAATACAGTGGATCACAATGAGTTAGTATATACAGCACAGAATATATACTACAACAAAATAACAAATATATAGAATACAGTGGATCACAGTGAGTTAGTATATACAGCACAGAATATATACTACAACAGAATAACAAATATATAGAATACAGTGGATATATAGTATATACAGCACAGAATATATACTACAACAAAATAACAAATATATAGAATACAGTGGATCACAGTGAGTTAGTATATACAGCACAGAATATATACTACAACAAAATAACAAATATATAAAATACAGTGGATCACAGTGAGTTAGAATGTTATCATAAAATACAGAAAATGTAACAAAACAGAAAAATGCTACATTCTTTTAAGATCTGTATATGACCGAGATTGGTTAAGATTAATGAATGGACTGTTGATACATGGTCAGTCTCACTGATGGTTTTATCAACTGTGGCCATGAATAGTTTGACCCGCTGCCCACACTTGTACTGAAAGAATTCGGTCAAATATTTAAGTTAAATTATTGAACTTTGATTTAACTGGTCTTGGCAAACAGAGTTTAAAATTTCATTGAAAAAAATATATCATGATTCGAATAACAGATATAGCCACTGGTTAGAATACACCTGATGATAAAATAATGGTTAGGTTATAAATAAATTAACAAAAAATACTTAGTTTACTATGATGGTATGTCTGATGCCAAGAGCAGTGAAGATACAGAACTGATATTCTGAGGACAACATGGGTGAACACCGATACTAATCACGACATCTTATCACATACCAGAAATACGTCAAACTGGAAACTGCGTCTTAGAATGTACTGACAAATTTAATGTACGCAGAGACCTTGATAAAGTCGATTTTATCTAAAAATTGGTGCACAATGTTCTACAGAGGTGTAGTTTTAAAACTGGATGTTCCGCATACTGAGAGATATTTTGTATCTGAGAAGGCGACAGAAAGTAATAAATTATTGGATAAACCATAAAATATGATAGTGAAAGCTTTTTTGTAAAGTCGATACAGAAACCCAAACAAATTCGTAATTTTAGCCACCACAGACAAAAGGGGGATCTCGCGTATTACCTGCACTAAACATCAAAAGAATTAATCCAATTTAGAAACACAAAGGAAAGGAAAATAACACTTCAGCTTTTAAAATAACTGGCATAGTTTATACAGGTATTTAATGTCAATCACACAACCAGAATGAACAACAAGGGACAGATAGACCCAAGGTATGCAGCTTTAACCACCGTGTTACAATATATTAAGTGTCGATCTAAAATATATAAATAAATCGTATCAATGAACTGGCTCCGCTTAGATCTGAAAAAACCAGAACATAACTTATTATCAAAGTCTTGGTAGTGCTTCACAATGTAGTTCAGGTTGAGAATAAAAATGTTCGGTCTGCTCTGATTGGACATGGCAACAATACCGTGCAGTTTTGAAAGTATGGTAATACCTGGACTTGAAGATTGGAGTTAGTTGCCAGAGATCAAAAACACTCCACGAGATAGAAAAAAAGGAAAGTAGAATGGCTCCAAAATTTTATAAGTGACCTGCTTGAACAAACCGATAGCGAAGACATTGCTTATCGTTTCATTAAAGTAACAGAGAACA